TTCCAGTACAGGGAAACACCCACCACCAGCATTATTTCAGGCTTAAGTCAGGGAGAGGAAGCTAGGCAGCCAAGAGATTAGTAGACTTCTTTCCGACAGAGAGAGGACTCAGGCCAAGGGGCGAGAATCCATCAGAACAAAAAACAAAACAGAGAAACATCTGTAAGTCCCAAGAGAAAAAAAGTAACATACCCAGCTGAGATATCTTTTAAAATCCCTTAGGCTATAGGTAAACATGTCCAAATGAAATAATTAAAAAGATTATCTAAGTTTCTCTTTCAAAAATTATTTTTAAAAATCTAGACAATTAAGACTTCCAGCCAAGATGGAGGTGTAGGTAGATACACTTTGTCTCCTTGCACAACCAAAAGAAGGAAAACAACAAATTTAAAAACAAAAATTAACCAGAACTGCCAGAAAATTGAACTGTATGGAAGTCTGACAAACAAAGAAACATTCATCCAGACCTGTCAGAGGGGTGGAGATGGGCAGTTAGGGAAGAGAGGACTTGCAGCAAGATGGCAGCTAGAGGACAAGTGCAGGTGAGGAGGCAGCTGGCAGACTAGGCAAGGCAGGGCTGGTGGAGTGGGTGGTCCTATATTTACATGTGGATAAATCAGGAGCAACAACTGGGTAGTGAGGCAGACCTAGCAACCCAGGGTTCCAGCTCTGGAAAAAAAGCACTCAAACCTCTGGCTGAAAAAACCTGTGGGGGTTGCAGCAGCAGCATAAACTCCCAGCCTCACAGGAAAGTTCGTAGGAGACACCCAAAGTTTTCTAGAATATACACAAAACCACTCACTCAGGAATCATCACCAGAAGAGCCCAATTTGCCTGTGAGTAGTGGAGGGAGTGACTGAAAGCCAGCAGAGAGCTGAGGAAGAGCCATTGTTCCCACTCGGACCCCTCCCCTACATTCAGTGCCACAACACAGCAACAAGAGTTGCCCCGGCCTGGCAAATACCTAAGACTCCACCCCATGCTATGTAACAGGCATGCCAAGACAAAAAATGTGGCACAAATGAAAGAACACATCAAAGTTCCAGGAAAAATACAACTAAGTGACCAAGAGACAGCCAACCTATCAGATGCACAGTTCAAAACACTGGTAATCAGAACGCTCACAGAAATGGTTGAGTATGGTCACAAAATAGAGGGAAAAGTGAAGGCTATGGAAAGTGAATAAAGAAAAATGTACAGGGAATCAAAGTGAAGGGAAGGAAACCAGGACTGAGATCAATGGTTTAGAGCAGAAAGAAGAAAGAAACATTCAACCAGAACAGAATGAAGAAACAAGAATTCAAAACAATGAGGAGGTGCTTAGGATCCTCCAGGACAACTTTAAACATTCCAACATCTAAATCATAGGTGTGCCAGAAGAAGAAGTGGAAGACACTGAAAACTTCTTTGAAAACAATGAAAGAGAACTTCCCCAATCTGGCAAAGGAAATAGACTTCCAGGAAGTCCAGGAGGCTTGGAGACTCCCAAAAAAGTTGGACCCAAGGAAGCACACACCATGGCACATCATAATTACATTAGTCAAAATTAAAGATAAGGAGAGAATCCTAAAAGCAGCAAGAGAAAAGAAGACAGTTACCTACATGGGAGTTCCCATAAGATTATCAGATGATTTCTCAAAAGAAATCTTGAAGGCAAGAAGGGGCTGGAAAAAGGTATTCAAAGCCATGAAAGGCAAGGATCTACATTTAAGACTACTCTATCCAGCAAAGGTATCATTTAGAATGGAAGGGCAGATAAAGTGCTTCTCAGATAAGGTCAGGTTAAAGGAGTTCATCATCACCCAGCCATTATTATATGAAATGTTAAAGGGTCTTACCTAAGGAAAAGAAGGAGATAAAAAATATGAACAGTCAAGCCCTGGCTGGCGTAGCTCAGTAGATTGAGCATGGGCTGGGAGCCAAAGTGTCCCAGGTTCGATTCCCAGCCAGGGTACATGCCTGGGTTGCAGGCCATAACCTCCAGCAACCGCACGTTGATGTTTCTCTCTCTCTCTCTCTCTCTCTCTCTATATATATATATATATATATATATATATATCCCTCCCTTCCCTCTCTAAAAATAAATAAATAAAATCTTTAAAAAATATGAACAGTGAAATGACAACAAACTCACAGCTATAAACAACTGAATCTAAAAAAATAAAACACACACACACGCACAAACTAAGCAAACAACTAGAACAGGAACAGAATCACAGAAATAGAGATCACATAGAGGGTTATCAGTGGGGAGGGGGTTAGGGGTGAATGGGGGTAAAGGTACAGGGAATAAGAAGCATAAATGGTAGATATAAAATAGACAGTGGGGAGGTTAAGAATAGTGTAAGAAATGTAGAAGCCAAATAACTTATCTGATAACATGACCCATGAACATGAACTAAGGTGGGGAAATGATGGTGAGAGGGGGATACAGGGAAGAGGGGAATAATGGGGAGAAAAAATAGGACAACTGTAATTGCATATTCAATAAAATAATTTTAAAAAATAAGAGAGGAATTAAAAAAAAGAATTTGGGGATACAGAAATGATTGAAAGCCAGTGGTGAGCAAAAAATCTGTAACTAATACTAAAAAACTACAGGAATTCTGCTTATAGACAGAATTAACAGAATACCAATGTTACCTGTCCAGACAACATATAAGGAAATAACAGTGGGAGAGTGTCAAGAGGGTATACAGCAAAGATGTAAATAACAATGACATTGTCATCTTTCATGGCAGGGAGTTCATCAGTACTTTATAAAGTGGAGAAACATGCTAAAATCTATTTCAACCTCTTGATGGTTTTCATAATCTTTTTCCTTTCAAACTTGAAGAAACAGTGCTCATTTTGTTTTCTGTGTCAGCCATCATTTATTTCTGGGTAACAAGTAATAATAAAACCAGCCACTGGTTGTTCAGCACTCATTCTGCACCAAACACTGTGGCCAGCACTGTTTGCACAGCCAGCCTCTGAGCTGGATGAGAGGAAGAAGAGGAGGCACCTGAGGCTTCGCATGGTGAAGCCCCTGGAACAGATGCAGACCTGGGATGCTTATATGTTCTGAGGCCACCCTATTTCTTCCTAACTGAACTGACTCATTGACAGTGGCAAACAGTGCCACCTGAGAGCCTGCCTCATGAAACAGAGGCAGCAGACGTGACATTCAGGAAAGAGTCAGGCTTGCTGGGTCAACTTTGTTCATCAAACTGGGAAGAATGCAATGCATTTTAAGTACTTCCATTTAAAGAATCACAAAATATGAGAGTGCAGATATATAAAAACTTCTAATGGCAACTATATTTGTTTTTAAAGCAAAGTTTCAATATCTTCTTAGGGTGGAAGCTGAATTCCAAACATTGCTCACTGAGCTGCTAAGCTGTGGAACTTGGGGCAGGAGGGGAGAGAGGGGTTAAAGCCAAATTTACTTTGACCTCCTGGGGTCATAGACCCCATGGATATCTGGAATGTAGCTCTAAAGATGTGGAAAGTAATTTTTTTCTGGTCTGCAAATTTGAATATGCAAAAATGTGTTTTCTAATCTTTTCTATAATTGAACACAATTTCTATCTCAAGCCCCCATTATGCTGAGTTCAGAAAAACTAATCATATGCATGCATTTCATGTGTATGAGGCTTTTCCCCCCAGTCTATTCAGAATTTTCTTCTTTTTCCCACCATGTGGTATCATCTGAGCTCTGAAGGGTTGTAACACCATCTAGCCCTGAGTGGTTGGGGTGTCCGGGCTAGGCCAGGCTCTCAAGTGTCCATGGACAGCTAATGGGATGCCAGGAGCTTGGCCATCTCTGCTATGCACTCTGCAAAGACTGAGAAGGTGCTCTGTCACCAGACTTCAGGCTTACCTTTTCAGCACTGGCCTCTTTCTAACCAGTGAGTATACTCCCTCTCTGACTCTCACAGACTGTGATGCCATTGCACCCCATTCTGGAACACTTCTGGGTTTTCTTGACACTTATCTGCCTAGACCCAGGTCTACTATACTGTATCAGGCTGAAGGATATGGGAAGGCAGGAAACTTTAAGAGATTTGCTGCCTCCCTCTGACTCCCTTAGCCCAGACCTGGATGGAGGACCAAGGCATTCTCTGCCCTAAGATTCCACATTCTTCTGAAGTGACTGCTGTTCCTCCACACTTAGAAGCCTGCAGCTAAACATTGCTTTTGTTGGTCCACTCCCCAGGGAGTGAGTCCAGCACCTTTTAGCTTCAAGGTCTAGTTATAACAACAGAATGAGGGTAGCATTCTAAATTTGAAAGCAGTGGAGTTAGTAGAGGAACTACCAAGAATGAAAACTACACTTGTTACTGTGTAAAAATTTTGCCAGCTCCTTTATAGAGCATACAGGTAGACAAATGCTGGCAGCCACAGGCATGAGCACACAGAGGTAGAATCACCTCTGTGCTGAGATAGACACTTAGGCTTCTGGGCAATCACCCCATGCTGCCTTCCACGTTCCTCCTCACTGCGAGATACACAGTTTCATTGTCCTCACTGACATGGACCATCCAACTCTCTGCAGGTGCAGATTCCTGCTGCTCTGGGTTCTGTGGTGCATCCTTCAGAGAAAGCCTAGACACTGAGTGCCCAGCACCAAGTTTGGCATCAGGGATCTGTCTCTCTCCCTCAGGGGAGACAGCCAGTCATCCTGCATTCAATGAGAATCCCTAGGCAGCTGTGTAATAAGCAGGCCGTGAAAACAGCTTCCTCCAAACTGATGGAGTCAGCTGAACCTTGAAGACTGAAATTATATTTGAGTCAAATGGCCAATATGTAGGACATTTTGCATTAAGAGACAGTGGGCTTTGTAATTCCACAGCTGCCCTGAGATGTTTGTTTCAAGTCCATCATCTCTGTATGGTAAATGACTATTGTATGGAAAATTAAATGAGAACACTTTCCTTCCTGGCAGTTGTTACTCCTGCATTACTCTCTTTATCTATTGGATCTCAATAATCAGTGTCTTCTGCTTCTAAAACAGGATACAGCAGTCTTGTGGCTGTGAGGGCTCCTGCCTAGAAATGAAGCCCCATCCTCAGAGGCCAGCAGACCCAGAGATGCATGAACAATGCTGCTCCTGGAGGCCCCAGCACCCTTTCTCCCTTGGATGGCAAACCATGGTAACACTAGGGGAAAAAGTGTATCAGCTTGGTGTCAGAGGGCCCTGATAGTAATTGGGCTCTGTCTCCTTAGGGATCTGTGCTTGTCGAAGCCTCAGCCAGTATTAACCTTATCTTCCTTGAAGGACCATTAGGCTCAAGTGGAGAACCAGCACAGTCCTCATCAGAGCCACAGCTGATAGACTTGGGCCTCTTCCTTCTCTGTCATCCAGACCTTTTGTTCTGGAGGGGGAGGACATAGAGTGCCTGACTGGTTCCTTTTGACATCCACCCCAAGACATGGAATATGGTCACCCTGACCCTCTAGGTGTCTTGTTCTAGCCCCTCCTGCTTTCCAGGCATTCTCAGGCAAGGATATCCTGCTCAGCTCTATCCTCTGCATCTTTATTCCACCACACCTCCAAAGGTGAGGGATTTGGAAAACATTAGTCCTGGAACAAGTCTTATTCTATGTTGAGAACTCAGATAAATTCAGAAAAGTAATTAGAGAAATTTTCTTGAAAAAAGCCTCAACAGCCAGTTCAGAGTTGGGGTCATTGGCTTATCACAAACAGGCATCTGTTGGGGGAAATGGTGTCTGGAGGTGGGGAGGGAGATGTTCAGGCCTGAACAGCCCTGCATGGTAGGTCTTCTTCCTTGCACTCAAGGACAGTGAAGTTCCCAGGGTGGGATGCTTAGGTAGTGGCATGACTTGTTTTACTTCATTCAATCCCCGGACAGATATTTAAGATGTTGGCCCTGTTTTATAGATGGGGAACTAAAGTCAGAGAGTGAAGGAATAGGCCCAAGGTCCTTGAAAGACTAAGTAGAAGAGGAGGGACCAAGAAGTGGGGCAGCCTGTCCCCAAAGCCCCTGAGCTTCATAGGTATCACCATCCTTTATAAGACCTTTCTTTTGCCTGAGACACATTCTCTTGAGATCAGGCCAGAGAAGGAGAAAGCACCAGGCATAGAGATGAGTGTTTCATTACCATCATTTTGAACTATCCTCACAGCACCTGTCTGTGGTGAAAAGGCACACCCCAGTTCATATACTAGGAGGCTGAGATACAGCTTAGTTAAGTGACAAAGTAGGAGTCACTTGGGTGCTTCCCCCCACCCCAGGACCTGGGAGAAGGTACAAGATGAGAGAGAATTGGCTGTCTAGCAGTTGCCCTGACATAGTTCAGCATGAAGTGCCCTGTCCCTACTGCTGAGCAACTTCCCAAACCTGCACAGACGAGGCCCTGCCTGTGCCTGCATATTGGCCCCCAGTGAGCATTGTGTTCAGGTGGGCACCAACAAGGTTCACACCTTCCCCATCTTTGACCTCTTCTTCCTCCTGCATTTCTTTTTTTTTATTTTATTTTAATCATTGTTCAAGTACAGTTTTCTCCCTTTTACTCCCATTCCAGCCCACCCACCCAACCCTCCCCACTTCCCTCCCATTACCACCCTCCCCCTAGTTTTTGTCCATGTGTCCTTTAAATTTGATCCTGTAAACCCTTCCCATTCTCCCCTGAAATTCCCTCTTCTCTCCCCTCTGGTCACTGTCAGTCTGTCCCCCATTTCAGTGTCTTTGGTTATATTTTGCTTGCTTCTTTGTTTTGTTGTTTAGGTTCCTGTAAAAGGTGAGATCATATGGTATTTGTCTTTCACTGCCTGGCTTGTTTCACTTAGCATAATGCTTTCCAGTTCCATCCATGCTGTTGCAAAGGGTAGGAGCTCCTTTCTTTCTGCTGCATAGAATTCCATTGTGTAAATGTACCATAGTTTTTTGATCCATTCATTTACTGATGGGCATCTAGGTTTCTTCCAGCCTCCTGCATTTCTGAGTTATGCTCCATGACAAAGTGGCCAACCCTTATGGGTTCCCTATCATGTTCTAATCTCCTGTTCACCTCTCAGACCACTACAGTCTACCTCTCACATACACCCTCTGCTCTTACAAGGTGTCCCACAATCTCTTAATGACCACGCCCTATACATGCCTACACAGGCCTGAGATCTTCTCACTGTCCTGAATCATGCCCTCAGTTGCTAGTACAATCATCCATTACAGTGGTTTCAACAAGACAGAGGATTAGCTGTCCCAGAGGTGGGTCATCCAAAACTACATGGTGGATCCATGATCACTAGAAATACAGGCTCCTTCTATCTTTCTGCTCTGTTCTCTTTAGCTTGCGGCTCCTCCAGTAGCCAAATGGTCCAAGATGGTTGCAGGAGCTACAGACATCACATCCAAGTTACAGAGGGCAGCAGAAAGGAGCAACAAGGGAGAGGCAAAAGCTTTTTCAGAAACCGTATATATGACATCTGTTTAGATATTATTGTCCACTCTATATGCTTGGAAGCTGGGAAATATGGTTTTTCATATGGGGTTATTAAGTGGTTAACTTCTGGATACTCTCATTCTCTCCCTTGGTTTTATGGGCATATGTGTATCTTGCCTTCATTGTACTCCTCTGGCCGTCCACCTCTGTTTCCTTCAGTGCTGGAGGTTTGTGGGTCTTCTTCTCTTTTCTCTGATTAGCCTTTCTTGGAAGGCTTTGCTAGTAATATCCTAGAAACCAGACAGAGGAGTTGATAAAATGGGGAAAAGGAGACAATGAGGGTACTTGGGTAGCAGATACACAGGTGAAAACGGTAATATGGCATCTGACTCTGAAAGGCAATAAAACGTGTGTAAAATCCTTGAGCCTATCCCTGGAAACACGACAACTACGTAAGGGCAAAAGGTAGTATACGATTATGTGCTAAGAGCCTGATAATCCAAGCAGAACCAAGAGTACTGAATCCAGGACCACCATGTACAATTGCAATAAAGGGTTGTAATTCCTAACCCTTGGTTGTCCCAGGACTGAAAGATATGCTGTAATGACCCGGCATGATGCCAGCCCATGGAATGGATGCAGTTTCCTTGGCTTGGGAAGGGAGAGAGTACTGGCTGCTACAGTGCCCAGGGAAGCTACTCTAAGGCAGCAGAATGTGAGAGACCCCGGGCTTAATGAGGACAAATTACAGATGTCCAGTGAGGCAGCAGCTAAGCAGAATGTGGGTGGAGAAGACACCCCATTTGACAAGGGATAGGGAGCAGGTCTCAAAAAGAAGCCCAGAGAGGGGCAAGGTTGTGGAAGAGGGATGGTGAGCTGGCTCCAGCTCCCACCTGGATTCAACAGCATCCTAGGTGCACCAGAACCTGACTCCAGAGACACACCACCCAGCTGCCTCCCATCTCTGCTCTGCATTTCCAGGAGACAAGGTCAGTGGTGTGCACCTTCTAATCCCAAGTCTGGTCACCTTTATTTTCACAGGACTGTGGACAGATCCAACAGGAATAGAAAGGACAACACAGCATGGCTGTCCTATGCCCTCAGGGGAAGAGGGGAAGAGACCATGTATCGTCCTCCCCAGGCCTGCCTTTGCCAGCCCCTGACCCCACAAGCCACAGAGCGTCCCTTGCAAGCAACCACTCCTTTCATCTCAAACACCTAAAGGACCACCAGAAGGGCAAGCCAAGGAGAGACTCAAACAGCTCTCACTACTCCAGGTCACCTCGCCCCAGAACCAAGCCCTGGCCCCAGGAGAGCAATGACCTGGAGACGTGACCCTTCAGGATGCAGTGTCCATCTCCAGCCACCCCCTCTTGAGTTCTGCCACATGGCCCAGGAGGCCGGCCATGCTTTTCTGCTGTGCAGCTTTGGGTAAATCCCCAACTTCTCTGGTTCTCCTGCATGTTCACTGGAGAGGAAGCACGGTGGCTCTGCACTCTGGAGCCCCATGGGTGGGAAGTACAGGGCAGAGACTGCGGGGACCATTGCCGCACCCAGGTGGCCCGAGCATCGCCAGCCCCAAGGTCTGCGTGGAGCTCGGGGTCCGGCCCAGAGAGACTCTGATTCCTGACCTTTCCCAGAGGGTCTAACCACTGGAGCAGCTTCGCGGACACCTCGGGTTTAGCTCGCTTGTGCCTGGGGCTCTGGTGGAACCCCCAACCTGCAGAACCCCCAACTCCACGGCTCCAACGCTGTGAGCAGGCCCCCACTTCCTCCCCTCCTGTCACTAAGTGACCCTGAAAAATCCAGCCTGTTCTCCGGACCTCAGTTATCCCATCCGTGCAGGATGAACACAAAAACTATAATCTGAAGACGCTGTTTTTCTCTCTAAACCGGAAAGCTAGGACTACCACGGATCCGCGTGCCGCGCGCGCCCTCTAGTGTCCAGTTCCGCCGCTGCACCATTTTCAGGGCGAAGCCCGGCCCCTTTCGTGTATTGGTTAATAAAAGAGGCGATAGAAAAGGGATTGGATAAATCAACCTCCGGGTGCATCAGTAATAGATGAATGGCAATGAAGGAGTGAACAATGGAATGGATGGACATTAAAATGAATGCACGCACAAAGTGAATAAATGAGCAGTGAAACTGAGTTCATTAATGGCCTTGTTTTTGACTTTTCAAACATGTTACATTTAGAATAAAGTATCACAAGGCCTTGTGCATGGCATGAAATCCTGCCCAATCTTACCCTCATCTTATCTGTCATCACTCAAAGTCCTTCTCCTTCTCAAGACTTCTTTGCCTGCCTTTTCCTCTGCAGGAACTTCTGGAGCTCTCCCATAGCTGTCACTCCTCATCCTTAGGGTCCAGCTGCTTCAGTGGCTTTCTTGCTCACCCTAAAGGGGAGCTTTCCTCTCAGCAGGGTGACATCCAGTATCTGCCTCTTCTTCCAGGCCTTATATACTGTAACACCAGATATGCCTATGGACATGTCCCAAAGGCTGCTGAGTGCCCCCACACAGTAGCTGCTCAGGACAAATGAAGGAAGAGGGCAGCTTGCTGGTGACCTGACTCCACACAGAAGCTCCCAGGAGTGAGCCCTGCTCCAGCCCTATCCACCTAGCCTGGAGCTGACAAGACCAGGAGGAAGCCAGGGGCCTAATTTCCAAGTCTGAGAGCCCAGCCTAGGGATCATCTAAGCAGCCAGCTTCACCCATCTCAATCCCAGGCATTGGGGAAGGGCTCTGGGAAAGGCAGTGGGTTATCAATACCAGCTCATTCCTCCTGCTGGCCTGTCTCCTCCAGGCGGGTCCTCTCCTGAGAGAGTGGTTCAAGGAGCCATGCTAATTAACATTGAAGATAATCATCAAGCAGTAGCATAGGATGACTTCCATCAGCCTCCAGTGATAACAGCACAACCCACTGCCTCCCCAAGTCCCCACAATCTACTTTCCTGCTCACTCCCTTGATTCCAGGGAGCCTGAAGTTTTCAGTGCAGCCCAATTAAAGGGGCTCCAGAAGATAAAAATTGTGTCTGGTTCTAGAAGAGCTCCTTCCTTGTGAGTCCTATATCATCTCCACTGACCAAAGCAGGTGAGGGGGCTCTGCAGCTCATTTTCTTCTCTTTATCTATGCATTCATACCTGCATCAGCTCTACTGCCTAGCAAGCATCACCAGCCATTCTAATTTTCTGGTTAATTTGCTCTTTCTGAATTTGTGAGCAGGAAGGGAAGGGCACGTTGACCTGCTTGCTTCCTTTAAAGAAAGGAGATGGTGTACTGGGGAGGCAGTTCCTCCAGCCTGCTCCTCCTCAGGATCATGGCCTGAGGTGAAGCAGGCAGGTGCTCAGAATGGGACCCTGCCAATGTCAGGGAGGTCCCATTGCGCACAGTGACCCTGTGAGTACTGGATGGCTACTCTGTCTCCCCTCCCCACTCTCCTCCTTAGCATGCCCAGGTCCCTGCCAGGCTCCTCACTGTGACTTTTACCCTCTTCTGCACCCACTTTCTCCCTTAATACTGATTTTTTTCTAAGCAAGCAGTCAGCTTGTCTGGGCGCACCCCGAGGAAACCATCTCCCTATGATGAGTGACTGTGTATCTCTGTTTTGCTCCTTTAGCTTCAGATGGACTCTGTGCCTGGTCTGGGGATCAGAGGCAAATATGGGTAGTTTACGAACCCTTTAAGCCTCTCTCCCCTTTGAGCTGTCTTCCTCACTTTCCTACAGCTGTAGTCACTCCAAGTCTGTCTTCTTGTTCTTCTGTCCACTGTGACTCTGGGTGTTCTGCCCTCATTTTCACATCCTCAGGCTGCTGCCCAGCTTCAGCTGGTGCAGGGAAAGTGGAAGCCAGGGCCATGCCTACTGTCTCCCAAAGCCCCACTGCAGGACCCTGCTGTGGTCACTCTCCCATGCCTTCTACAGTTGCTTCACTACTGTGTTCGGAGTTTAGCTATGGCCTGTGGCGATATTAATTTAACAGAGCTGTCCACCTTCGCTGTGAAGAGGGCTGCACTCACCTTCCATAGTCAGTTTTCTTTTTATAATCTGGCTTTGGGTCTGATCCCTCAACTCATTAGCACATGGGCTACACAAACTCTCTAGGTAATTGGTTCCAAGGAACAATGACAGATGACATACCTGTTTTCTTCCACCCTCCCACCCCCATGTCTAAAATAAGAATGAAGCACTTTCCTGATCATTATATAGGTAGCACCTATACCAGAAAAAAGTGTCCCAATCTGGGAGGTCCCAAGTGGCCTCAGACTACACAAACCTGTACACTCTTCCTTGACCTACAGAGAATGCCTGCTTTCCTGTCCAACCTCACCATCTAGCACCCTGGTGCAGGCCCTGAGGCTGGGAGGCAGTCAAGACTTCTTTCCCATGAACTCCTGTCCCTCCTGTACTAGAAACTCCAAGTGAGGCAAAGCCACTGAGGTCCCACAGTCCTGTTTTTGGGTAGCCCAAGGGCTTCAGGGCTTCTGTGCTCCTGCTAGTCTTCCTTTCACAAGCAGATGGTCTTCAGAAGATTCTGGGGCCAGGAGTGGGGGTAAATAGGCAGAGGTGCTCTGCCCCCATTTTTAGCCAACAGAACTCACTTCTTACTGTGGCAGACAAAGAGACACATGACTCATCCCCTCTTTGAGAGAAAGGACTCAGCACCAGGGGTGGGGTTCACTGCTGCCCTGACACTAATTCCTATATGCCTGCTCAACTTTCAGGACAATCACTATAGTCCCTCTGCTGCCCCCAGCCAATAACTAACTGAGCATGGTGGGTGTGTGAGGGCTGATCACTTCCCCAAAGCAGGACCCCAGGGCAAACAGGGTCTCCAGACAGTTCTGGAACTCCTCTCCACTCCCATGAACTAGCAGAGATGTGGTCAGATCTCACCATGGTCTGGGTCTCCCTGCCCAGTCCCACTCTGCTCTTTTCCTTTCAGGGTACTACACCCTGATAAATCTTCTGTTCTGCCACTCCATTCTTCCACCATTCTGGTCCCAGCCCCCTCGGTGCCTCTCCTGCTCTGCACTAGTCTTCTGCCCCAGCCTTACAAGCTTCCAGCCTTCCCTCTGCACTGGGATCTCTGTGGATGAATTTCACAACCCTTGTTGTTCTCCTCATGTTACAGGGTGCAGCAAAGAGGGGGGGACCCCAAATGGACATTTGAAATGGGGTCCAGAACTTAAGGTGTCCAGGAGATTTTAAGATGTCTCCATCCCCCTACCCAGGGTGTGGGTTGGGGGAAGGGACAAATGGAGCAAGGCCATTGAGATCTGTTTTGCATAGCAACAGCCTTGCAGCTACCCTCTGGCGTGGTCATTTAACATATCTATAGCCTTTGGCTGGTCGCTTAGATATGTTAAATAGCTGTGATCATCTCTGAGCCAGGGGAATGGAAGTAACTTCCCCACCAACACGTGACTGGGGCAGATCCCCCAAGCTATAGTGCCTGCGTGGGAGCTCTGAGAAGATTGGCTCCAGGACACGGGGCCACACCTGTCCAGACTCAAGATGGCAGCCCAGTAAAGCTGGAAGGATACGAGTTCTGGCATGTGAAGTGGAGTGTGGGAGGAGTCGGAAATGACGCTGCAGAGGAAGATTGGCTGCGGGGATTTAAAACCCAGACTTGGCGGCCATTAGAAAAGAGAACCACGTGGCTTTGGCAGAGTGGGGACCCCCCACAGCTTTAGAAGGGGGAACCACCACCTGGTTTTAGCAGAGATCCTGGCGACTCAGCCGAGGGTGCCAGGAACCCAGGGAGGTCTCCCAGTTGAGAAGGAGGACTAACTAAGAACCAGATGACTGTCTGAGCCATGGACTTCGTTTTCCTTCCCTGAGATACGGTACTCAGGACTGGGCAAAGGGGGAAGGAAGGAAGGACTGTGTGTTTGGGGGTGTTTTAAGGGACTTTGGGATTTTTTGATAAAGACATTAGGTCACTACTTTAAGTTTGTATAGCATTAAATAAACATTTCCTTTCCTTTTCACGAATCTCTGGCATTGAGAAATGTCTTTCCTCGGGCGGCGGACATAACGGACCCGGGGCCTTCTTTCAATAATAGTATATCGTTCCAGGCCCCCCTTGTTCTGTTCTGTAACACTCACAGCCAGTCTGCATGACACCTGTGAAAGGACCTGATCAAACTCTGTAGGGTCTTCATGGTGACTTCATCTCTAGGTCCTGGAATGCCTCCAGATGCGTTCTTATGCTCTCCACAAATATCTGTTGAATAAATGGTGAACACATGCACCAGAAGAGGCCCCCAGAAGAGAGAGCTGCCATGCGGTGAACTCTGTGAGGTCAGGGACTGGAGGACACACACCCGAGGCTCATGCCAAAGCCTCTTCCAAGGAAGCTGCCTTTAATCATGATGAGAGAGGTCAGTCAATGATGAGTAAGTGGTTCCCACTCCAGTTTCCTGCTTCAGCTCCACTGCCAGGCTCCCTGCATTTAAATCAGCTTTGCCTTTCCACCCAAGGAGAAACATAGAAACCCAAGAGACAGTGGATGATTTGTGTGCAAGGCAAGTGCACGATGAAAAGTAGTGGGTGACAGGTGAGGGGGTGGCTGGACAAGTGAGGAGTCAGAGTAACCCAGATAGACCAATGCCTTTCTTAGCAACAGGAACTGCCATATATTGGGGTACTGGACCTCACAACACACAGGACTTTCCTGCACTACGCTGCTCTGTGGGGAAGGTCTGATTATGTCCATTTTTAAGGTGGGAAAACTGAGGCATGAGAAAGTTGAAAGCTTGCATGAAGCTATACAGCTACTGTGTGCTGTAAGCTGAATCCATACCAGGGCTGAATCCTGTTTGCTAAAGCCCTGATCCCCAACCCCCTTCATCCGCTGAGAGCCTCCTACAATCCCTGCTTCAGTGCTGTGGCTATGAGCTCCAGGTGGATGGGGGCACTCACTCAATTAGGCAAACTTGTGTGAGCACCTACTCCGTGCCAGATGATAGATTTAGGCAAGTACGTGACTGCTCCTACCTCTGGACACCTGGTGGGGCAGAATGGCTAGGTGGCCCAGAACACATCCTGTACAGGTTTGTCCTACAGAAGCGGTGAGGAGTACTCTGAGGAGGTATGAAATGGAAGGTAGAGCTCCTCACAGGGAACATTCGTAAGAGCTGGTTCTA